TAAGTCCCTAAGAGCAGATATTGTTCTGTGCCTGCATTTGCTCTTAAGAAGCCGCCTTGCATTTCTAAGAGGAACTGGATGAGAAGATGGATGCAGTGCTGAAGCCTCTCTAGCCAACATGTCAGCCCGTTCATTTCCGTAAATGCCACAGTGGCCAGGGATCCACTGGAGGACTACCTCTCTTCCAGAACAAAGAAGAGAGTCAATGCGTTGTTTACACTTAAATTCGAGTTCAGAGGGATATAAATTATATTCAGAAATGGTCTGAATAGCAGCCTGAGAATCGACAAAGATAACAATGTTTTGTTCAGATGGTTCACCAATAGCTGTAATAGCCATAAGGATTGCAAACACTTCTCCATCAAAATTATCTGCCCAAGTGTCAAGAGGTTCTCTAAGGCTGAAATATTTGGAGTAAGCACCAGCTCCAGCTCTACCAGTTGAAAAAGTGGCGGATCCATCAGTAAAAACCTGCAGCCATTGCTCGTAAGGGTATCTCTCGTGTATAGTGGCCAGAGCGATAGGATACAACTCGGTCTGGTGGAAGTCCGATTTCCGAACAGGCAGTACCAAGTCAAATCTGGCAGTGGCATATCTCAGAAGGCCCGTAAAAACAGGTGGCCTATAGATGCAAAGTTTGGAGTTGGAGACCTCAAAGATCTCTGCAAGTCTCCGGTACTCAAAAAGAAAGGAATGTTGAGATTTAAGTCTAGTTTGAGGAAGATTGTAGTACGGCCAAAAGTGCTCCTTTCTCAACAATCTTTCACCAAGAGAAAGGACAGCATAAGTTCGTTTGTCAGATAAATTATAAACAATTAATAATGAACATAAACTTTCACATAAATTTTTTAAATCATAGGTGCATTTAATATACAGTCACTTTCAAAATCAAAAATTGAATGTTATTTTTAGATTTGAATTTTAAAAAAAAAAACGTGAATCTAAAAATTATGTTTCACATCATAAAGGCACCACAATAAACAGTAATCAAAGCAGGAAATATATCAAAATTTAATGAAGCAATCTAATAATTAACAAACATCAAGTGAAATTCAATTTTTACTACATCTTAGTTGTGTTAATACTGTAAAACCTCTAACTTTAGCAACATTAACCTCCAAAGAACAACCATAAGTTTATGGCACCGTTTACATAATGTAAAGATTTTCATTATAGTGTCAATTGTTGCTATAGTTATTATAGTGTCAATCATTGTTTTTATCTCTTGTCTGCAATAAATTTACCTGATCATTGCTAAACAAATTTTCCCCTATTGATCATCACATTCAAGTCATTATTTGTAGTTTTTAAGCATTCTTACAACAGCCAATTGCAGATTTAACAGTTTCATTCTGCCGATTACAGATAAGCCACATTTTTCATGCGTGGTCTGCAGGAATTTTGTTCTAACACACACTCACTATGAGTGGTAATTCTTGATGCATAATTGGTCAGGTTTCAATTTAAGCAGAAAGTGAGCATTAAAATTTTTTGTGCAATTTCAGTTTTTTTCTTTCTTCACGTTCTTAGGCACTTGTAAAATGGATCCCTGAATAAGAACTTTAGTAAACGAATAACCGAAATATGAGGGTTAGTCGCAAGTAAAAATTCATTACCATGAAGGATAAAATAAAAATGATTGAGGATAGTAAAATAGGAATAAGCATGCAAAAATTAACTGTACTTAATAGTAGGGATGTAACGGATTGTGATTTGGCCGAATACAGAATATTTAGCCAAAAAAATCAGCGAAACACTGAATATTTAGTAGCCAAATAGCAAAAAAAATATTATTATTTTAAAATCATTAATAAATATTATTTTTTATATAGTTTAGTCATCATTGAAAAATAATCAAAATTTAGCTGTATTATTGGTATGGAATAATGGTATAATGGTAAAAAAAAAACTTTAACAGAAACCTTTAAGATAATTAGAAATATTTAAGAATTAAGAAAAAAGAAACTGAAAAAAATTATCCATAAAACATTAAAAGAGAAAATATGTCTATCAGAAACACTTTTAAAAATATAGTGCTATCATAAAAATGCCTGTAAAAAACATAGATTATATACAATAGCAAAACAGAAAAAATATTGAGAATTACTATTAATAGAATTATTAACAGAAAAGATTGACCTTAATTTTTAAAAGAAAATTTTAAAACTCAACATTTCTGTATTCCAATAACCATATTTTCAAGAAAAAGTGAAGATTAAAGTCTAATAGAAACCCTCTCCATTGTAAAGACGTATATAAAAGCATAAGTTTCTATAGTTAAATAGAAATCAAAACAAAAAAATTCTCAATTCTTAAAGGAAAGATTTAGCACTAAAAATTCTAATTTAACTTTCTCACATTGCAGTATTTTAGGAAAAAGTGACCATAGAAGAATAAAGTTCATTAGAAATGCCCTATAAGAAATGCTGTCATAATAAAAAGAAAAGTTTAAAAAAAAGAATGAAAAGAGAATAATAAAAAAAAAAATGTTCTTAATTCTGAAATATAACTTTAATGCTGAGAGCCACAATTTTCTATGTTAATAATTATCTGTCTTCCCGAACAAGAAAAAAGTGACAGTAAAAGAATAAGTCTATTAGAAATGCACTGTTAACATGTTTGGTTTTAGTTAAAACAGAAAAAGAAGCAAAAATGAAGAAAGAAAAAGTTCTCAATTTTTTACATATAAAATGTCGAAAAAATATTGAAATTGACTTCCCTGAATATAATTAAATAAAGAAAAACATCAGCATAAAAAAGAAACTCATGGTACAGTATAAAGTAATATAGTTTCAATTCTTCAAATTTCACTTTTCCATGTTTCTTTTATAACATAAATTAACAAGTTTTAGAGCTTACCAAATTTGCATTAAAACAATTAATAATAATTTATAGTAAAAAATTCGATTTCATATTATTCTTTATTAAAATCACCCCCCCCCCCCAAAAAAAATATATTTTGTCGAAAAATAAATTTCCAAATGATACTTCACAGAATATTCATAAAAAGGACCGAATAGTGGGCTAATATTAGTTACATCCCTATTTTATAGTTGGGAAGAAACACAAATTAATGACATCTTAAAAACAGTTATTATATGTATCAGTATTTTTTTTGTGGATTAAAGTTGAATTCCAAAATTAAGTTTAAATTAAGAGAAAAGGGGTTTAAATTAAGAGAAATTAAGAAAAAAGGTAACAAAAATTTAGATGAAATTTTTGTTTGAATGATTAGCTAATTGTAGTGCCAATTATTTGCTAATTTCTGGATCAATTTTGAAATAAAATGTTGAACAAATTACAGAAAAATTGTGGATAGAAAATTTTAAAGCATCAAATGGATGGCTGGAAAAAATCAGATTACAACATAATATTGTTTAGTCTTAATTAAATTGAGAAGGGGCAAATATGATGAAACGATGTATTATAAAACTATTGGGATTATCAGTAATCTGAAAAAAATTCATTTTCCAAAGAAAAAAAGAAGCTATGACTACAAATTTTTTTTTAAATGTTAATAAGATAATAAAAAGGTTTATAATAATAAAGTTTGTTAACTTTTTATTGTTTGTGGTTTTTAGTAACTCCAAATAATAACTCCCTTCTTAACACCAGTCACATATATCCAGTCTCGTAAGGGTCTGCTGTTTGGAGGTTAAACGGTATTAAAAATACTTAATTCAGTATTAATAATAAGATATGTAAATAAAAAATGAAACAATGAAGAAAAATTAGTAAAAAAATATGAGATTCAAAGATGACATCAGCTTTGATTGTCATATTTTTTTCAAAGTTTTTTCAATTTTTTTACTAATTTTTCTTCATTGTCTCATTTTTTTAATTCCTCTTGGTCTCTCTGCTGCTAAGCACATTTTTTCCAGTTGGATGTTTTATTTTTAATTTTATTATTTTTAATTTTATTAATTTTTTGAAATTAATATTTTGAATTATTTTCTACCGTAAAATACCGATAAANGGCGCTTTATCGAGTTGGGGCGCTTTATCGGTATTTTACGGTATATGCAAATAAAAATAATAGTTCTTAAAATCAAATAAAATGAAAGTGGATCATTAATGAAAAAGTAAATCAAAATTTTTTACATTTTAGTTTCATTGGGTTTAAAACAATGCAACAGCTTATACATAGATATAAAATATTAATTAATACATGCTTAATTAATATTCCATTAGTATTTTATAATTATTGCATAGAAATAACACAATACTTAATTATGAAAAATAGTTATTAAAACAAAACTTATCATCAAATAAAGCAAAAAAAGTTTGCAAGTGTATAAATTGTATTATAGTGTATAAATTGTAATCAAAAATATTCACCTGCATTTTCTGCATTTAAATTTATCTCCATCAAATGTCTTTCCTTGAAACTTCCTTAGATAGTTTTGTATGGCATTGAAATTGTTACCTGCAACAATACAAATATTTTAAAAACCTTTAACATAAGAGATGCAAGTACTTTTAACATTAGTAAAATAAAATAATTTTGATTAAAAACATACATAAACTATGTATGTATATTCCAATAAATATAATAAAACACTTGAAATTCGATATATTATTTATTTGGTATAATATTTTTGTAATATTTATCAACAATTCACAAGTAGAAATGACGTGGTTAGAAACAAATTAAAATACAAAAGAAAAAATACAAGTTTATATCAATTAATTTTGAAGAAAAAAAAGGTCTCAAATTAAATTTGCATCCAAATTTATCCAATATTTTGGAGCACAATTCATAATTATATATCTTTCCAGACATCAAAATGATTTATACCTATCTTTGATTGGTACAAGATATAAAGAAGGGTCATTCTACACTAGGCAAGATGTTTAAAACAGGTCAGAATATCTTTCAATGGAAGAGTACATTTGTTGTCTTCAAATTCATTTAATTGATCTGACTTCATTATTGCTAATAAACTTTTTGTGAGAAATTCAAGTTACCAAGAGTTCCTTTCTAAACTAATCTTTTAAAACTAATTTTTAATGCAACAATATTTTTGTATTTTATTGCTTGTCCAAGTCATACACTAAATCATAAAAGTCTAACAAATTAAAATCTTTAAAAGTTTTCCAAAAATATCTTACCTTGTAACAAACATTAACATATTTTATTCAAATGTTTATTTTTTATGTCAATGTTTATGTTAAAGATTTTGAAAATGTTCAGTAAATTAGCAAAATATATACATAGAGTTAGAAAAATAGCATATATAGCAGTGTACTCCCTAAACGTTTATAGAATATTGGCTCACCGTGCCTGCCCTTTAATCCTTATAAATGCTAACCTTGCCCTTTTTTGTAAACATAAGCCACCATCCCTTAAAAACACAGAATAATTTTTTCAGGAAGAGACTGTTTTCTTAACCATCAATTTTAATGAAAAGTCCACTTCCAATTTATTAAGTTACTAATGATTTAACTTTAATTTTTAATTTTATATCTTTATTTTAGTAAGATTTTTCTTATGTTCTCTAGTCAAGTAATTAAAATTCACATAATATATACATAAAAAAAGCATTTAAGTTGTATATTAATTAATCCTTATTTTAGTTTATTTATTTATTATTCTTTTTTAAAGAAAACTTATACACAGAGATTGTCTTTTAGCTTGCCTTTAATTATTTTTCATAAGCTTCAAATTTTTCTGTTATTTTGATACTGAGTGCGAATTACTTTATAAAAATATACACATAAAATAGTATAAGAAGGTTATTTAAAAATTAAGGATCAAATTCAGTTATTATAAAATATTACACATTTTGATAAATTTTAACAGTGGTAAGTGAGTGTCCTTACAAAACTCAAAGTGTCCTTTTCTGTGAGGAAGCACGCTGTCCTTTTTTATTCCTAGGGAGAAGTCTCACATAGCAGGTATATTAATTTAGACAACCACTGATAATAATTAAAAAAATAATTTTTTTATACATTATCTGTTACTTTCATTAAATTATAAAAAAAGAAACTCCAAAACATATTTTTTAAAGCATAGAAAAATTATTGCAAAAATAGTGTCGGGCATCTTTTTAGGGCAAGTGTGAGCATTGTCTTGAAGAAACACCTTCATTAAGTGCCACTGAAAAGAGGATTATAATGGTATGAATGGTTATAAGAGAGATTATGGTTAATAAGAGAGAGAAAAAAAAACTATTTAATTTAAAAAAAATAATGGAAAGATCAGAACTTAAATCCATTTTTTAAATTCCTTTTTTTAAGTAAACATAAATGGAAATTATATTAAATGTTAAATTTAGTTTAAATAGTGCTAATAAAATATTGCCCTAAATGCAAGGAAAGTTTTTGAATTTTATACATGATCATTATTTTGANGTCCTCATACGGACTGCCGCATCATTTGGACGCCGCTTTTGATAAGAGCCTCTGCTCTCTCCTGCTCATGCGGGCACAAGCGCATGCCCCGATCCCAGTCAGAGACTCCAATCGCATCCCGAGATGTCTCGCTACGTTCTCCCATAGCGGAATATGCAAATATTTAATTGTTACGTTTTTACGTCGTTTCGTACCTTTTCATTTGATCACCCCTTGTAGATTTGAAGTTTTAGATTTCTTAGTCGATGATTAGATACACTTTTTGAACAGATGTTGTTTTGAAGAATTGTTACCTCATAGGCCCCCTTTACTACTATCACTGCTTTCAGAACGGAAAAATAGTTTTTTTTTTATCCCGTGTTATTCAAAAGAAGAAATTTGCAATGAAATTTGTAAGGAATTAAGTGAATAGTAATGAGCATTGTGAATTACCAGATGAAACTTGTCTTCCTAAGTGATAGAGGCAGAATATTTTGTAATCAATATTTCCTTCATCCAGAGTATATTTCATAGACTCATATAGTCGAAGTTGAGACAAGAATCCAGCATTGGGACTAGAAAAAAATAATAACGTTAAAAGAATTTAACATAATTACATTTTTTTAAAACTTTCACAACATTAAGGAAAAAACGTTTTCGCGAACAAATAAAAAAGGAATTCACCCTTTACATACAGTGTGCAAAACAAAACAAAAAAGAAAAGCAACAAAATTTTATTTTATCTAATGATTGATTTTTCATGTACGAGATTCAATCTTTATGACTCGAAGGGATAACCTTAAACATGGTAAGTAGTTAGAGCAGATGATAATTTAAGTCACGAACTCAGACACAAAAATATACTTTCTCAGAATAAGCATATTATTTTTTCAATGGATTTTAATTCCTAACCCGCAATCTGGGATATATGGTCCTAATTGTTTGGTCAGTAAAGAATTGGAAAAGTTAATTTCAAACTCTCTACTTGAAACCCCTTAATGTTAATTTGACTTCTTGCATATTTTGTCAAGTCTTAAGAACTTTTCAAGCTAATTGAAACATTTTTGCGCACAATTATGAAATTTGTTTATCTAAAAAAAAATATGAAATTTGAAATTAAATAAATAATTATGAAATTTGTTTATCCACAGATGATTCCACACAAAAAATAGTTTTTAATAATTATTAGTCATTTTTTAATTATTTTATATATTCAGTAATAGTCGAAAAAGTTTTGAATTGCAAGGTATCCTATTTTTAAGACCATTTTAAGGAACATAATTTATACGGCAAAATATAAAATTGGGGAGGAACGATCCCCAGTTCTAGCAAACTTTTGTCTGTGATTTGTGACTCCTTAAAAATGGCTAAATCTTATTTTTTTATTCAGTAGAGCCCCTTAAATTGGGATGGCTACTGCCTTCTTTTCCATTTCTTCTGACATAACAGAAAGCAAGGCTTTCTAATTTTTACTACTAAAAATATTTTTTTGAAGTATTAAAATTTTATAATTATAAAAGAAGCAAAACGTTGAATATTACCAGCATTGGGCACCCTAGAGATCTAGGAATTCCTGGACAAATATCTTCATTTAATAATAGACAGCGAATATTCAGCAGTCTAACTTCGGGTAACTTTAAATTTCTGAATATTTTTACTAACTTTGAGTTCTAAATAAAAAAGTTTAATTTTTAATAGTTCCCGTAAAAATATACTTACCATGCACAATACCTCTTGTCTTTAACATTTCTAAGAGCTTCTTCAACTCCTATCTGATACTTTTTCATTAAGTAAGCAACAACTAATGTGGCACTACGAGATACACCTCCATAGCTACAAAATTAAGATTTTAGGACGTTAATTAATAAACATAGCAAGAAAATTTTAAAAAATATTTTCTGCTGTTTCACAAATGTAAATAAAATTATTTGGACCATATCGAATTATATTGAAAAATAGGAAGATTTTCAAGTTGGTATCTGCCCCAACTGTCTTGGCAACAATAAGGCAGTGGCAAAAAAATAATAATTACAGAATGAGCCAAAATTTAAACCACATATTTTTGCATCCGCCCAATATATCAGAAGAGAAGGTCATGGAGATGAAGACTGGACACTCTTGTTACAAACATGCTGACAATGCTAGTGTGGTCAGCATTGTCCACCAATGCCTTTGCATCCCAGTCAAGCTTGTACCCATTGATTGTATTCAGAGCCGGATTATACCTTTCGTAGGCCCTAGGCATAGTCGTTTTTGGGCCCTTCCCTCCTTCCCCCACTCCCCCCCTCTTTTCAAAATATATGCTAAAATTTTCTTGCATATTTTTTTTTTACATTTTTATTAATATGGATTTTAATTTACGAATTTGTTTATTGAACTTTATCTGCAATACCGACATACTGCCGATATTGCAGTTGATATCGATAATACCATTATGATTAGTTCGATCGATAACTATGTAAACACTTCACGTCAACAATACAACAACAAACCAGCAAAGAAAACAGTGAAATTGATAGTGAGATTAATTACAAGAAATATTTATACAGTAGAGAACCAATTATCTGGGATGCTCGGGACCATCGCTATCCCGGATGTCTGAATTTCCCAGTTTTCTGGATCGACCAAAAAGTGTCATTAATCGATGTTTTATCGAACCCGAATTACAAGGAAATTACACAAAAATTTGTCAGAATCTGAGATTAAACTAAAAGCGCAAAATTTGGTGAAAATTTACTCATCCGATTTAGAGAAAAACTTTGTAGATGAATTTTTACTATTTTCAAATTTATATGAACATAAATCTGCACAAGAAATGTTGAAGGCTCAAATTAAAGATAAACTTGTGAATACTTTTCCTAACGTTCACATTGCATTAAGAATATATTTGTCGATTCTTGGATCAAATGCAGAAGGAGAAAGATCTTTCTCCAGATTAAAATTGATAAAAAATTATTTGCGTTCAACAATGAATCAAGATCGTTTGGCATCGCTCGCACTTATGTCTATTGAATACGACATTTTGCGTAGTTTGGAATTCGACAGCATAATACAAGATTTCGTTGAATCCAAAAATCGCAAAAAAGTAATATATTAGATCATAAGATTCTGCAAAATAATTTATTACCGAAAAATATTATATTTTTATTTGTATCTTCATAATTTTGTGCAAAATACACTTCTTGTTTTTAAAGCTAAATTATTTTTGTCAACAAATTTTTTTCTCCCCAGTTTTTCGTAGGCCCCTGAATTTCGTAGGCCCTAGGCACATGCCTAGTGTGCCTATAGGTTAATCTGGCCCTGATTGTATTGCTTGCACCGTTGTACAAATTGAAGCTTGGTGGTCTTCAAACTGCTGTCGTTAATAGAATATGAATAATTTACAAGAAAAGCTCAGTAACTGTGAATTTTTTTAAAATTTATTTGGAGTACAAGAACTGGGCAATTTTTCTTCATAATTTTATCTATCGCAAATAGGTACCTATAGAATATTAACAAGACATTTTAAAATAAAAATATAGAAGTTTTTGACAGAAAAATATAGCTTGTTTTTCAAAAAATATTTTTTTAAAAATTAGTACAATAAACTATTATGATTTAAAAATAATTATCAGAATATAATTTAAATATGACAAAAATGGATAGCTTTTAAACTTCATATTAAGAGTAGTAATTTATTTTTGGAACGTGAAAATATATGAATGACCATACACTTTTAACTGACCATTAAGAGCTCCGTAAATGATAGATTTTAAGCAAGACAGGACTGAACAAAGGCTGGTGCAAACCCATTCTTTCTCCATGAAAATAAATTTATTTGAAATAAATAAAAGTGAAAAGTAATATTTATAAAATTAGTATAGTTTCCCTAGTAATAATAATTTAGAAACATAGTAATGTCATAAAATTTCCTGAATGTCTTTATGCTAAATTCTTAATTATGTATATTATATCTTAGCAATATTAGTTAAAGTGATTAAGAGAACTTAAGATGTTCTTGTGATTTTATCTTGATTTATAAAATAGTCAAATGACTATTTTATTTATCATTATCATTAAAAAAAATCATCACATATAAATACAAGTTATTTCTCTTATTTGATAACATTAATTATGTATATTGTCATTATATAAAAAAAAATCTATGCCATAGTCAACAATGTCATCTCCATGTTATAGTAAGAGATTTCTTGTTATTATTAATTCTCATTCAAATTAATTTTATAATTAGCTGATACCTATTCTAATGTATATTTTAAATAATCTAAAATAATAGTGGTTACACAAAATGCATGATTCAAAATCATTCAAAAACTGAATTAAATTTGAATTCACAAATAAGTACCAATGAACAAGACATGCTCCTTTTTCCTGTCCTTCTTTGATAAAAGCATTTGATTTCTCAAAAGAGGATAGTATATCACAATCGGCAGAGTCTTCTATGTCTATAAATAAAGTTTCAATGTCTACACCATCAGGAACTGTGATTGGAAACATGTAAATAGTCAGTACATGAGTGATTCCGAAACATTTCAATGTTTCTCCACTTTCAGCCGCATCTAAATTACCGAGATATAACTTTGGTTCAATCTCATCACACTCTACCATAGACGATCGTTCGAAAATTTCAAAAGAGCTCATATAAAATCTTGGGTTATTTACAAAATTGATTGCTTTTCATGGATCATATAAATAAAAATGCAGCCGATATTTTATTTATAAAAACATCGAGTGCCAATGTTGCCAAAATTAAGTAAGAATTATTTTAACTTTTAGGAAATTCCGTCTTGTGAACAGAACATGTTTTTAAACAATCAAATTTTGAAATTAAACCAATAGCAGAATTAGAAATTAAGCTTTATTTTGATGTATCTGAATATCAGTTTTCAGCAGCCTCTCTTCACTTAAGAATACATTTGTTGAACCAAGTATTAACGTTTCCGTTTGTCTATTTCTGCTGGCTTGAAAGCTTATAAATAATTAAAGTTATAGAATGAAAAATCATCAAGTGATAAAAAAAAACTACTTTAACTTCTATTAAAAACTCTATTCGGAATAATAATCATAATGCATTTTTTAATCAAGAAAGTAATCATAATAAATTTTTTATTACTGTAAAACTGATAGATGTAAGAATTGTCGAGTAAATGAAATGTACATTTATAAATCGTCAGTGAGCTTTTAATTTTGAACATGAAATGCGTATTTAAGAAAACAGACATTGCTCAAAAGAGGTATTTTATTTTATAACTAGCGTTAAACAGTTAACCCAATTTTTGTGTTTTATATTTTATAGCCGGCATTGAACAGCCGACACAATTCTGGGTTGACGACAATCAATGTTCAACTCCGCAGCCTTTTATTTTCGAACTCAATCCAAAAGACAAGGTAATTTCATGATCGAACATTCGGACAAACAAGCCTTCGAGGAGGACTTTTTGATAGAACAAACCCACATTTACAGTACATGGAGAGAAAAATCACGAAAATCTGCAACGGTTTTGCCCGACGACAATAAGATTCTAACCTATGATCCATTTACCACTGAAGATAATTTTACGTCAGCACTGTGGTTGGTGTGAGACGATTGCGTATCAACCAACCATAGCTGGGATTCAAACCTGGGTCATCTCATCAGGAGATAAACGCTCTATGAAAATCCGCAGCACCCCAAAGTCGTATACCACACAACAAATAAATGCGAGTTCAGAAAATTGACATAACTATTTAGAAAGATTGATTGTGTTTAGACTGCTCAAGATGCTGCTCCTCAATTTAATTCAACAAAATACAGTCAAACATTGAACTCATTTTTTATTTAATCTTATAACTCAGTAAAATTTATCCCTTTCTTCAAAATTTATGATTTGAAAAGTACAATTGTTCAAAATTTTTCGAAATCACTAAGTTTAATTTACAAATATGCATTTTCATAGTCACAAATTGTACGGTCGTTGCCAAGCTAACAAAATTATCGTTTCAATGACAAAAAAATTTTTTTTTTAAATTTCAAAAAATATATATTTTTTATGTGCCATGATAAACAAGATTTATTAGTTAAACAGTTACGCTTTTAAAAGTTGGAAAAGTAGCTTTCTTTTTTTAAATTCTACTTTTATTATTATTAATTAACAACCACTTCTGTAAAATCTTTCCCAACGACTGTGCATGATAGGTATTATGCATTTATATTCCTAGTCTAATAACAGAAATAATTATATTTCCATTTCCAGAATATGGGTGCGTCAAACACCAACCAGTCGATCGAGTTTTCGCGTACTAGAATGAAATATAAATAGTTCGAGGGTCTATCAAAATGCAAATTAATTAGTTCAGGAACGATATTTTAAGCTACAAATCAGGCACAAAAACAAACTTTCCTGAATGTGCATACTTTTTTAACAGCGGATTTCCATTCTTGATCTTCAAAATACAGCTTTCTAGAAAATATGGTCACAATAGTTTATGCAAGGAAAAAAAGTGTGAACCCACCAATGTTAATTTCCTTTTGTGTGTATTTCGCCTTATCTCCAGAACTTATGAAGCGAATCAAAAAGATTTTGCACTCAATTATAAAACTTGTTTATACAAAGAGAATTCCACGTAATTATTCTATTCAGTAATGGTCAGAAAATTTTGAAGGGTTTAGAAATTTTTAAACCATTTTAATCTACGCAATTTTGAGAGACAAAATACAAAATTTGGAAAAAAAAATCGTTGAATAGTCCTTAAGAAATAAAAATTTTAAAATAAGACTTCTTTGAGGTGGCGGAATACGCAAACAGTTAAATTAACATTTAAATGCTCTATTGCCTGAACAATTGAGATTTAACTCGCCCCCTCTCCCCCATTTTCAGGGATGAAATCTAAATAATAGAAAAAAAGGTAAATTACGATGAGTCTGATTTCATGACATAAATGCTACCTATTATTAATTAATTATCATATATACAATTAAGCTCTCGAAACGTTAAGTCCAAGAACGCAAAAATCCGATCATAAGATCAAAAGTTATTCAGGGTGTTCACTTTCTAATTTTGCGCACTGAATTGAAATAAAGTTTTTAAAGCAATTCAAGGTATAATAATGTGTGTAAAATTATTTCAAATAAGTATATCATGTACTTCATTGGTACTGGTAAATCCCGATATTGTTAAAATGACGACGTCTAGGAAATTTATTTAAAACAAAACAATGAAGTAAAAGCTTTTCTTTAAATAAAACATCTCTGAAGAATAAATTTATGAAATTTTTACAATCAGTTTGGTAACAGTACTTCTGAAACTATTTTGAATGGAGATAAGTAAATGTTTTTAAAACTTCATATTTGACTAATAAAAACGAAAACTAGATTCAATAAAAAAGAATTCTTTTTGTTATTTAAGATAATATTTTAAAACACAATTATAAAAACAGGGTTAAAAACTCGGAAAACTAGGGAAATACGATAATATTCCTTTAAACAGGAATATCTTCCTTATTTTAACCTTTTTTTTTTAATGATATTTTTCATTTATAAATAAGTCGCTGTAAATAAAATTTCTAAAAAGTTTGAGAGCCCCTTGCTCTAAAAATTTTTTCTCCTTGGCTAAATAGAGTAGATTTTTCGATAGATTACTAGTTAGTGATGTAAATTTTTGATGTTAGACTCATTTCTTTATACTTTGCTTATGTATGCGTCCGGTATAAAGTAGTTTGATTAAGATGCAGTTTTTTTTTTCTAAAAAAAAGTGGGTCAGAATGTTTAATAGTTTGGGAACTCCTAACTTAAGGCGCTTTATCTCTTTCTCTTTTCAGTTGAGTAATTTTAGTGCTTCATTTACATTGCGCTAGAGCTGATTAATGGGTCATTGGCGATGGTCTGGGAAACATTGCTGAGGATGATACGAAGACATGCCATCACAATTTTGCGCGAAAAGTGATAGAAAGCTCTTAATCGTCAGCTCGATGACCTGAGTGTGAAGTCAAGCACTTTACGGTAGAACAGTTTAAAGAGGATCGATACCGTGTACCTTTAGTCCCTTCGCAAGCTGATCAAATCGGCGACCCACCCACTCATTGACAGCTGAAAGTGATGCTTAGTTTATTTCATAACCGTCGATAAGCAACAGCCAACCCAATTTTTGGAGTAAACTGCTACCAATGTTCAACTCCGAAGCCTTGTAATTTTGAACCTAATCCAGAAGACAAGGAAACTCCTGAATCAAGTGTTGGGAGAAATTTTGCTTTAGTGGAGGACTTTTTGATGGATTTAACCTGCATTTGAGTTACTTTGAGAGGAAAACCAAGAAAATCTCCCATGGTAGCAGTTAATATGTAATGGTAGCAGTCTCCCATGGTAAGTCGAACGGCAAGGGGACTCTTGACCCATGAACCCGCTACCACTGAGGATATTTTACGGTCGATTCCAGCCGGGTACGAAACTCCTATCGACCAGCCATCGTTAGGATTCAAAACCGGTTCAGCTCACTGGAAAGCGAATGCTCTATCCCTAGAGCCACCATGGTTCAGGAGGTAATGATTTAATCCAATTGAAATTTGGGCCTCGTGATACACACATAATTAGAAATTCCTTTTGAGGCTAGTAAAAAGGAATTTGTTGGGAACCATGTCAAACAATCAGTCCTTTGCGGAACTTGGCTGAGTACTCTTTATTGTTAATATCTGCGCCGTGGATCATAATGTTTAATAGACTGGTTTGTTGAAATAGAATGTTTAATAGACACTTGACATTTTCCTCTCTTTCTTTGACTAAATAGAATAAGACGCTTTAAATATTTTATATTACTGATTTATAGTTTGAATACTATTGGTTTATACTAAAAATAAGCACACCATAAAATGTTTGTAGAAATCTTTATTTACACCAAAAATGTAAATTTACATTTACACATCATCACAGTTTATTCCTTGTTACAAAGAATTAAACTCAAAACATCATGACTGAATGTTTCACACAGACAAACACACTAGTAAATGAAGACATTTCAATTTTTATTTTCTAAGTCATACTTGATGACTCTGATTCGTCGTCGAATATTTTAAATCAAGCAATACAATAAAAAAAATAATAAGCTAGCGTTGGCACGTTTGGGGCATTATCAAAAAATGCTAGGTATAAAATTAAGTAGTACAACTTTCTAATCTTTCAGCTCATTCTGGTAACGTTAATTTTGATGAAAACTAAAATCAAGGGGTGTGTGTGTTAATACGGCAAGCTCTACTTGCGAGATATTGCAAAAAATCTTAAATAAGTTAAATAAAATAAAAAATTCAAGTTCATTTTTGTGAGGTGCACTATTTAAAAAACATACTTTTCTTAAGCAAATATTGGAAGATAGTGTATAAAAATTAGTCTTTCCCTATTGAAGATACTTCATAAATTGTTGAATGAAAGATGGTGCAAGAAGTTGCTGAGATGTAATGTACACAAGATGTATGGAACAGAAAGCAAGAACTTTTCCTTTGACTGAAAGGCATGATGGATTGCCTAATTATAAGTTCATTCAACCTTGTGCTTTCTTCAATGTCTTCACATCAAGATCTCCATAATAGTTTTCACTGTAAAAAAATTAAATATACGTTATTAAGAGTAAAAATAGTATTTATATACAATAAACAGAATTTCATATTACAGTAGTCGAAATGAATAATAAACAGATAGAAATTTTCCTCTCTTTGCAGAAGATTTTCCTCGATGTTAGTGAAATAATAATAAATATTATATGGTTGAAGAGTTTGGAGAAATTAAACAGCAGGTAGCTAGTGGCAAAAAATTTTTAAAAAAAACCCAGTTTATTATTAAAATAAGTAACGTTTTCTACATACAACTGGTCGTTTTTTTTTTTTTTTTTTTTTTTTTTTCAAAATTAAAAGTCAAATGAATGATAGTCCTGAAATGATAGATGGCATTATCAATCAAATTGCAAACTTCGGGAGAAGATATCCTTTTGATCGCAATAAGGAACAAAAATAAAAACATTTTTTTTCTGTTGTTATCTTAATTAATGGGTGTGAGTATTCAAATTGAATAAACATACGAATTTATCTAGAATTTTTTTATTTTAAAATTGCCACTTTTAAAATAATATCAAGTTGAATTCCTGGTACGGAGTACCTAGCCAAGAGGGCTATCTGCTCCTTCACAAATATATAATTAGATTGAATGAGGTGGGGAGTTTTTTTGAGTCAGCAAGTGAACATGATAAAATAAAATACACTAAGGTGTTCTATAGAAGGTTATATAAAAAATAATGTTAATTTAACGTTTTATTTGAAAATTTCAGATTTTTAACATTAGTGGACAGTGCACACTTTTACATCTAACTGAAAAACTAGTTTGTCACTTTTATGTGGAGTTAAACGGGTTGTTCGGTTCTTTTAATTCAAACTAAAAGAGCAAATCATATAAGTCATAACAAAATCTATGATAAGTTTTTATTTATGAGAAATATCTCTCAACTACAGAATTTTGTACTATTGTCCGTAACGTTAAGTATGGTTCGTACTACGTATAAATCGAATACAGTAAATGATAACATCGGGGAATAATTTTATTTTTCTGTTGCATGAAATTTTTGAACGGATTATAGATATTTATTTAGGATTAGCACTACTTTGTAGACTGATTTGGAAAGACCACGTTTTAGTATGTTCAATTTCAAATTTGAAGCAAAGTACTCAGTGCTTCTTATTTTCTTCCACTAATTACGGACAATGATTGTTCATGCATTACGCTACAAACACATTTCCATTTAAATAATTCAATATTTTATCAGAAAATTGCTAGAAAGTATTGTCTTACTAAAATAAAAACTAATAAAGTTTCTATGCCCTAAACCTTCTGTGAAAGAGTGTTCACTAAATTCGAAAAGAGTGTTTATATTGGTGATGGAAATGGGCTACAGGTGGCGCTTAGCAAAAGTCTTTACTTATGGCAACACTAGACACTTTTACCACTAGCGTGTGGATAGTCATAGGAGTTAGAAGTGCGTTAGTTTCTATCTTGATTTTCAAACCGATTAAAAAAATTTTAAGCTGTATGGAACTACATTAAACATTGTGCTTAACGTAAGTATGTGTTTAATGTAAATTTTAAAAAAATATTATTGATAATCTCAATTCGAAAAATATGATAAAAAGAGGAAACGTCGTAATATATTTATCTACTTAAATGTATTTCCATTCATTTAAGTAAAGAAGGAAAGATAAGGGGTAGGATCTAGACATGGAACCGGTCTTCTCCCCAGATGGCGTATTCGAGTGTTGCCATTGCGAATGAGTAACTAGTACGCTGTCGCTACATTTAAATATCACACTAGCAAAAGATATTTACAAGTCTAAATATAGTTACACTCAAATAATTTTAAAATTGCTTTCTCCTGTTCCAATGTCCAGTGAATAACGATTTATGAAATAGAATATAAATTTGCAAACTTACCATCCAGGAACATTTTCAGGTTCGTCACATTGCAGACTGTCAACATTAAATACTGTGCCTAAACTGCATCCATATGGCCTTGCGGTTCCTTCAATGCAAACGTAGAATTTTCTGCAGTCAGTAGGGTGGGCGTGTCGGCTGTAAAGACCTGGTTGGTCAACATCAGATGGGTCAGGGCAGACGAATCCTTCGGCAACTTCTGTAAATGTACAAGAATTGTGTTGATTTATAAATTACATCTAATTGAGTTAAAGTAGTAAAATGCTAAAAAATTGCATATATTTAAAGGAGCATATATTGACAAAATCACACAAAAATCACCTGAATCTGTATAAGTAAGTTATCTGCATATAAATCGTGGAATTGAGCCTCATTGTTAACATATTAATATGGGGAACATTATATAGCATGTCTCCTATGGAATAGGGGGGAAAAAAGGTGGGATAATGCGTCTAAAGAAGATGCCAGTCCAAGTGAAGTCTAAGTGTAGTTCAAATCCAAATTATCTTTCTTTCAGTTTGTCTTCTAAACTGATCCAAATTATACAGTCGTGACAATGGATATTTACAAGCTTCAAGTTCACTACGCTAATTGGCTACATTTTTTTAAAAACAATAATAATCACTTATTTTTCAAATTTTTTGCCACTTTAATAAATGAAAGAAAAATAAAGGAATAATACTTAACAATAATGTAAGCTTAATATTTAACCTTTACACACCCAATGTATCTATGCTAAGCTTGGCCCGGTAATTGTTTTAAAGTGGTAGCTAAATTCTGAAAATATTAATATACTTTGAAGTATTTATATCTGCTAAAAAAAATTTATGTTTTCGTAATATAAAAATTTTACATCTTTGCACTCAGAGTTTTTTTAAAAGCTGTTTGATTTAATATCAGCACTATAGCATTTTAAATAACCAATATAGTATTATTATACAATTTTAAAATTCCTAAAATTATGTGATTACTAATTATTAAGATATAAAATTTCTTAATTTTAAAGTGGTGACTGTTGATGGTGCCTCCGTGGAGACATCGGAGTGAAAAGGGTTAAATATTTTCATTTCGTTTATCGTGATTTGGAAATTTAAAAAACATTTTATAAATATAATTGAAAGTTAATTTTATGACATTTCAAGCTATAATGAGAAAAAATTCTTCATCACTCTTTAATTTTTACAGGTTGTGGGTATCCTGTACTTCGTGAGGTATCCTAATGGATACCTCGGATCTAAAGAACATTATTAAATAAATGTTAAGAACATTATTAAATTAAATCAGAACTCGCAAAAAGAAATCACCTTTCATTCATTTAATATTAGTTTTTACAAGTAACTGTTTTGAATTAAACTTCGGTAAATTATCTAACTACCACTCCTTACGATGCGTAACGTTATTTTAATGCAAATGCCTGTTCACATTATGTCAGTTTGAGTTATGAACTCGTTCTTGTCTCTGAAGCGTTCTCAAAAACAATTCTAATGTTCTTGATTAATGTTTTATCTGTCGAAACAAAATATAATCCTGTTGCATAGTGAATTTGTTGATACTAATGAAATTAACAGTTCACTCGCTGAGTTCGTCCTTAATCTAACACTGCATATATGTGCTGCTTAGCCTGAGCGTTGAAATAAGTTGCTGAAAGCGTCACCAATCCAAACTTAAAATTAAATATCCACTATCTATACTCATAGAATCCTATGATGATAATAAAGTATGCATAACAAAAATAAGCAATCAAATAATAAGAAAAGACCAATGGAAAAGTTCGCTTTAATAGTACCGTTATAAGCGTGTACTATGTACTAACCGAATTGGTCGCATCTTTCCACTAAGTCAGCCCAAACGCAGACACGTTGTTCAGAATCATAAGCAAGGCCTGGTGGGCATTCGTATTTTGAAGCTTCACCATTCCAGCAAGAGTAGAAGACGCGGCAGTTGTCCTTGTTGGAGTAGATACCGTACAGACGTGGGCAGTTGGGGGTGCTTATAGGGGGTTCTGGAAGAAAAACATAAGAAATCACACTTAAATGGAAATGATAAATACTACATGTGTATAATTTCTGAACAATTAAATTTAAGGCTGTAAAGACATAATGAAGGAGTAAAAGAAACATTTAAAAATAAACAGTATTGCCGTAACAGAGCTTGCTCCGGACAGCGAATAAATATTTTCGAGTAGTACTACTACTCGAAATCTACTACTAATTAATAAACTACTAAGTAGTTTATTAATTCTGATTCTTTGTTTAATAAATTCAATTTATTATATTTTTATCCGCCACTATTTCTAAATAATTCGTAGGAATATATGTTCACCACTTTACTATAGTAGGTCATGTTAAACCTTTTAAATATTAGCAAAATTAATCAAATATTTGCAAATGTTAGTTCGTAGTCACTTACGGTTTTTTTAAATTATCTCTGCCGTAAATGCATTCGGAGCTGCACCCTGGGACAAACGAGACATTATAGCTTCTCCAGAAGGAAGAGAAATAATATAGTTTCTCCAGAAGGAAGAGTAACAATTTTAAAAAAAATATGTAGATAATTTATATTTTAAATATTTACTGGTAGTTAAATAAACACTGAAAATCTCTTGAGAAGTTGATAAAGAGTAAATAGAATAGCTGTCAGCTTGTTCGCTTTTCACTGTTTTTTTCCCCAAAGGCAGACGTGCCAACTTGCTCCAGAAAGCGGATACATATTTTTGAGTAGTTCTCTTTTAATGTATGATTATTAGAAATTGGAATGGTATTTTTGTAGTGGAAGATACAAAGCAGTTCTGGAAGTTCGTGAAAATTCAATAAAGATTGAGTAACAGAATAGCACTTATATAATAAAATAAATATTATAGATTTTCAATTTGCCATCCTGTCGTAGCAGAAACCAACAAAAATATTTCATAGTGTGTTACATTTCTTCATAAAACATTTGTTTTCAGACTTATCTATCATTCTTTTTAGCATACCTGCCAACTTTTAATCCTTTTTAGGATGATTTTCCGTAGTGGTAGTAAAAGGGAATTTAAATTACAATTTAAGTCAGAATCATACACTGTATTTTGGACACGCTTATGCGAACTACCTAAACAGTATTACATATTAGTATATATGATTATTTTTTTTAAAAATAGTGGTGGATTAAAAAGATTATAAATTAAGTTTATAAATGCTAGGAANTATAATAAAATAAATATTATAGATTTTCAATTTGCCATCCTGTCGTAGCAGAAACCAACAAAAATATTTCATAGTGTGTTACATTTCTTTATAAAACATTTGTTTTCAGACTTATCTATCATTCTTTTTAGTTACTAAAGTCTAGAAATTTAGCTCTTACCTAGATCTGATCTGTCTCCACAATTGACACTGAATGGATAGGCACAGTTTTCTCTGAGTGGGTCAGCATCATCAAAAACAAGACCGTTGCCGCATACTTTCAGAGTAGCCGTTCCGTTCTCGCAAGCCCAGTATTTGTCACAACTTCTGAAGTGAGGGTAGAAACCGAAGTTGTCAGGACAGTCGAAGTCGTCCCTTTGGGCCAAAGCTGAAATAAATAATCATTTTTATTAGTTACGTTTTCTACTTAACTATTAAACAATTGAAGTGCATATTTTCATATTTTAACTGCCAATTTGATTTAAAATTATAATTCGATTTTGGGATGGTATTTGGAATTCAAATATTTTGTATCCCACATTAATGTTAAAATGAAATAATAGCACTGCTACTTTAACCTATTAAAGGCCAATGGTCCGATGAACTTTTCTCAAACAGATGTAAAAAATGGTAGCTCATTTCATTCATTTTTGTAATTAATTTTGGAGTAGTAGAAGTAGCAGTACTTCATTAACGTTGCACTAAAGCTGAGCAGTGGGCTATTGGCGACAGGATGGGAAACATCAGCGAGGATGATCCGAAGACATGCCATCACAATTTTGAATCTCTACAGGGAGGGGTGGTAGTATCCCCGCTTTGGTAGCCCAACGACCTGCGAGCGAAGTCAAGCACTTTACGTTGGAACAGTTTAACAATTATCGATACCGCACACTCTCGATTCCTTCACAGGCTGATCAAAGTGGTCTTGCACCCACTCACTGACTGCAGTCAGTGATGCTTGATTTCGGTGATCTACTGAGATTCATGTCTCACAATCAGTCACTTTGTGGGGCAAATTTATCTTGGAGAAAAACGAAATTCGTAATCACCATAAGAAATTAATAACATAAGAGATACATATTTTTGATTTTAAATTATGAGACTGCGATACTTTAAAATTTAAGTGTCAGGCGATACAAAGAAATGTCGTATAAGTTTAAACCATAAACGTTCCACTACTATTCTATACTTATTTAGATACTTTCGGAACAATATCCCGAAAGAGTTAAGAGCAGGCTTTTTTTTTAAAATAAAAATTAATGAAGACAATTAGAGTGCAACAAGATAAATAGTATTTGTACGAAAATCAATATCTAAAATAAATTTAGAATAAAAAAGATTTGAACTTTATTAAAGAGTCACAAGGAAAGAGATATTTAGTTCGTTGGCAACCTTAACAAAAACACGAGAAACCAATTAGAATATGTAAATTTCGTAATTTATAGATTTATATTACTATATTTTAAAAAAGAAATACTTACACGGCACTTAAAATGACCATGAATCTAATTATTACTATATTTTATTGTAACACGAATAAAAAAAATTGTATTTCCCTTTTGCAATTGAAATTCTAGTTCGTTAATTTTTTGGCACAGTTGTGTTATTGTTTCTTATCCTAACTGGTCAGCCATTGGACTAGACCATGAGGTAATTTTAAATTCTAAAATTCTAAAATAAGAAGAAAATCCAGATTATAAATCCACCTTAACGCGATAGAAATAGCACAGTTGAAAGTAATGCTAATTTCCACCATTTATTTGAAATGTTTATTCTCAGAATATGTTTATTCTCAGAAATGTTTATTCATAATAAAAGTAATTTCGTATAGAGTTTTAGACAAGATGAAGCTGCAATTTGCCATAAAACCCTTTTTTACGTTTATAATTTCTTTTCCTTTTAATTAATTTCTTTTACGACTTTTTTTTAAAAGTTAAAGTAAAGAGAAGTAAATTCTATTTGTATTTCGTTGGAAATACTTTTTTGTTCGATAAATACAGCCTAAGGGGCTAAAATAAAAACTAGATCAAAATACTCTTTTCACGTAAAGAAAAAAAAATGTATCTATTTAGAAAGTGTGTCAAGATTACCCCCAAAATGCCAATGTTTTTATGTTTTAATTTGGAAACATCGCCAATGGCGATACTTATGAAGCGTGAAGAAGCACAGTTACAGTTTAAAAGATAGTTTTATAAGTTTATCTTAAAATAGGTGCAAAGATTGACATTAATGTCATGTGATTTACGATCTATGTAATGAGAACGATTGAAAGTTCTAGAAAATCGTCTCCGTGTATAAAAAAAAAAAAAAAATAAATGGAAAGTTCTAACAAAGAACAAAATAAAAAGAATTAAAAAATCTGAAATTACTTTTGTCTGGACAGCTACAGAATTTTTTCAAAATGATATTTTTAGTTTAGTTTATTTTTGTTTAAATGTACATGTTAATGAAGGACGTATTACAAACATACTCACTTGTCTGCTTCTTAGTAAATAATACTTAAGTCAAATAACATATGACCTTAACATATCGCATCATAAACGGAAATGAACCTCTTACCACTCCCTACGCAGCAGGAAAGTGGCGACACTTTATATCACCAGAGAGAATTTTAAATCATCCTGCTTAGGAGTACATTATGGAATTATATAAAAACTGTAGCTTGCAAAAGAAACCGATTACAGATTTGAAATCAGCGAAGTGAAAATATCTAAACTCAGTTCAAAAATCTCCTGCAACAGAAAAATAAAATTCTTCCCCCGTGTTATCATTTACTATATTCGATTTCTACATAGTACGATCAATACGGTACGAGCAATACGGTACGAGCAATAGTACAATACTTTATAGATAAGAGATATTTCTCATATATAAAGGTTTATCAGCGATTTTGTCATGATTTATATGATTTGCTCTTTTAATTTGATGCTAAGATTAAAAGAGTTCAACAATCCGTTTACCCCGATGAAAGTAACCAACTAGCTTTTCATTTAGATACATAAGTATAGACCGAATTAAGAAAATATATATATACTTTTGCATTTACCACTATTATTAAAAATGTATAATTTACAAATAAAATTTTAAAATCAATGATATAATGGTAAAATAAGTTCAATTGCTCATTCAATAAAATGTTCTATCTCAATGGCAAGAAGCATGGAAAAGGCTGGATTTCACTAGGGAACTTACGATTTTTAAATTGTTCCTCATTACCAATTTTACTTACAATTCACGATTCTAAATCACTGGGGCACAATGAAATCCGTGTATAACTTTTAGGGGTATTTCTGTGCTAAAAAATACTTTAATTTATTGTCAAAATTTAATAAGAAATCTCAGATTCATGTATATTCATTAAATTGATGATTCATTAAATAAATCTTTGAGATTAATTAAACAATTTTTAGCTTTTAAATCATGTTTTTTTTTTATTTCATGCTATTAATGAATCGCCCATTGTTATCGTTGTAGTAATAGTCAAAAAGCAAAAGAAAAAGATTTCAATATAATTATACATTTTATGGCAGATATAAATAGGTGTAGTAAATTTTTCGTACATAATCTTTATATACCCAGACACATATATATGTTATGTAGAATTCACGACCTTATTTTTAAGGGTAACGCATGACTGAAGCAAAGAAAAGAAGAAGAAAAAACATATAAATTGCGACCTTATTTACAGGTAAATTAGCTATTCTAATCATTTAAGTTATTAATCAGGTTTGACGATGCTGTCTGGAACGAGATTGGGGTTAAGAGTTAGATAACAAAGAAAGTTTTTGAAGTTCAACCCCATTTTCCTTTTAAAGTTTCTTATTTGCATGCAACTTATTTTATTTCATTCTTTAAAAGCGTTTTTATTATACTTAAAAACTCTATATTTGACAGATATTTGTAGAATGACACAAATAATTATATCTTTCAAAAAGATTAATCTCAAGTTTATTTTTGATTTTATTTTCAACAGTAATATTGTTTTATTTTTATTTTTTGTTTCTTCATAACAAAATTTCGTTTTCGGAAAGCAAAATATTTGGCATTTATTTTTAATATAATATATAATTTACATGTAAAGTAATTATTTAGTTGTTTTAAATCATCAAATAAAATTACAATTTTAATCGATTGTTCGCAGAGATGCCAACTTTCGTTGGACAGCAAATGTATATTATAAAGTGGTAGTTTATCAATTGTGATTCTTGGTTTCATAGATTCAATTTAGTAGAATCTTATCCACCACTATTTCTAAATAATTCTTAGGTTTATAAAATTCACCACTTCATGATACCTATGTAATGCTATACCTTTTAAAAAGCAAGCAAGAATAGTCAATTAATTGCAAAATTTACCTTGTAGTTATTTACCGTTTTTGTTAATTATTTTGGCGTGTCCGGAGCAGTTGGCATCTCTGTGTTCGTAGCTAACTTTAAACAAGAGTTTAATTTTATTCAAGATATCAGTTATTACAATTTGTTATAAAGTTATCTATAACTACAAGAGATACATATGAGGAACAAATTATCTTTTCACACAACAATCAATTTACTTGTTTGGTATTTATTTAATTATTAATAAATAAAAATAGCCATCGTTGGCCCACCATCTTGATCATCATTCAAAATTATCTTATACAACGTATAAACTTTAACCATACCTGCCAACTTTTACACATTTCGCGTAAAATGTTATTTTTACATTTAAAGTGGTAGTAAATATATACTATTTTTTATTTTATAAACTAAATTTCAAATGATTTTAATCACCAGTATTCTGAAAAAAATTTAGCATATATATTGATATGCATTAGTTCATACCCTCCAACTTTTCATGTACATTTTTATTACTTATAATATTGTCATTGCCTAATAATGGCAAAGTGCCATTTTTCTTTTCTCAAGAACTCCATTTGCTCCCCAAACTTTAATTTTGTCATGTATGTCTCTAAGTTTAACTTCAAGATAAATGGGAAAAGGGCCGTAAGGCCTCAGACGCCCAGTTCCACTACAACGAACGAACGAATACCCTCCAACTTATGAGGATTTTGAAAATAATTCTTTCTAGTGATAGCGAACCAAAGTAGAAATTTTAAAAGCAAATGGATCCCTCATAAAACTTGTAACAGAACTTAAGAATCTAGCCATATGGCCAGCACTTTTATAAGTAATAGTGGACAAGTTAAGCTAAAATGAATTTTTTTTAAATATTAAGACATTAATTTTGCTACCGTCTGAAAAGAAGATTTCTGAAACTACGGAAATTCCGTAGCAGTTGGAGGGTATGGATNATCTCCGCAATACTTTCAAAGTTCGAATTTTAGTAATAATTTAAAATCTGTCCATCAGCCATTAAACCACACTAATCACCGAAAATATGAGCTCAAGA